CGAGGCACGCGCGCGTGCCGACGTCTGCTCGGCCACCTGGGCTTGCCCGGTGCGATGGGCCTCTTGTTGCCCGCGCTGCGGTAGATGCTGGAGCGTGTGGGGTGCTTTACAGCTCCCAGCCTCTGCCCGCATCCTGACGGGAGGGGAAGGGGGAGCCTGAGCTGTTACGATCCGCCAGGCTCCATCCGTCTCCTGCCACCAGGGATTTAGCAAAGCGTCCGAGCGCTTGCAGCCACTCCCCACGCCGACGGAAGCGGTGCTCGTAGCAGGCTCGGTGAAGAACACTGCTAAACTTTCTGATGACAACAGAAGAAAAATAATCCCCAAAGAAGCACCCGTACGTCTCATGCCAGTTCTCAAATCCGAGGAGATTTTTTGGGTTTAATCTCTGCGTAATTAAAGCGTGAGCTACCCACTGAAACCGTCTCAGACTCAGGCACGGTCTAGAAACACACCCAGACGCCTGAGAAGAGCCGAGGCATCCCAGCGCCTGGGAAAAGCCCTCAGAGGAAAACAGTGATTCTGTTAGCGGGGCAGGACACAAACAGTCCCGGGACGGAGAGGTCTCGGGCCGCACGCGGAGCACCGCAGCAAAACGAGTGCCTGAAGGAACAGCAGTTCGGAGCTGGAGCTACGCTCTCCCGGCAAGCGGAGCGGGACGGAAGGAGAGCGGGCAACGCCACAGCCAAGCCCTGGTAGCACGGGTCGCGTCGGCGTGCCGAGCTCTTATTCAGGCACAGCCGTTTTTCGGGTGCGTGACTTTTCAGCCGGAGGAACGCAACCAAATTTCACGTGTGAGCGATCGCACGCCACGCCGACCGACAGAGCTGCCCCAAGCCCTCGCTGACTTACGCCACGCGCTCTTGCGGCTTCGCCACGCCGGTACCTGACCGCGTACCTTATGGTTGACGCTAGTGAACGGTGTGTTGTCAGTGATGGTTTCAAAAGGCGACCTGGCTCCGTTCCCGTCCGTGGGGGTTGCTACTTCCCAGCTGAACCGTATCGAAGACTGGTTGATCCCAGCCTCGCCGCAGCGTTCCTGCATGACCGCGTACTTGGGGAAGTGAGGGTCACAAGGAGTGACGCAGATGAGCGGGTAGCCCGGGGAAGGGGATCTCTTAGCACCGTCCTTGGTCACTTCTTCCACCCGGTCGTAATCAGCCAGGGTGACAACCTGGATGGACGCACGACAGCAGCGTTCGCCTGAGGCCGAGGGGAGGGGGTGGCAAAGGCAATCCTTCCCACGCGCTCCAAGCCGGCTGCATCGTTGCAGCTCTTCATTTTATTTCAGAACCCCCCACCGGGACTTTCAGTCTGTACTCGAAGGGTACTAAACCGCATCCATGGCGCCGGGCAACTTACCACCGGGGGTGCCGGTAGAATCAGGCTCCCTGCTGCCTCCTGATCCAAAATAGTCACTACTGCAGTGCTGGTATCTCCAAGGACAGCTTCCACCGGATCGTCCGGACCCAGCACCAGAGAAAAGGACTCGTGCCACTCCCGGTCTTCATTGGACATGATCTCCACCTTAAACATGACGTGGTTCACGCCTGTGAGAGGAAATGCAAGGGAAACAGCGAGAACTGGGTTCGTCATCAGATGTCGCTCTGAAGTTCTCATAAAACACCTGCACAGCTGGTCCAGGCTGTGACCGCTGAAACATTATGGCAAAATACGCATTATAAATTTCATTTCCGCTCACTGCTACTAATAATTCCGCCCTGTCCACACAGGAGTCGTGTCTACACATAAAACTCCAGCTACGACCCAACTGACCAGGCGCTAGGTCTACTAGCGGACGCCACCTGAGGCTCAATAACGCCTGTCTCGTGTTAGCCGTCTGTTCCAAAATCTGTGATCCGAGCACCTCCCGCCCCTGCTGTGAGCTCCTCTGCCGCCTCGCACCACTGCGCAGAACCGTTTGGTGAGGGCTTCTTGGTCCAGCAGCACGGTCTGAGCTGCCGCACTGGATCCTGAAAGGTCTCTGCCGAGCCCCACGTCCTCCCAAGCCCCCTTCGCTCTCGCCTGCCAGCCGCCTGTGCCTCGTCCTCGATCACCCTCCGCTTCTTTGGCCTTTTGGCCTAACAGAATTACAGAGCGCAAGGCTGCGGCCCAGAAGAGTCACGCTTTAAAAAAGACCGCACAGGAAGCGGTCTATGTAGTACAGTTGAAATACGTCACCAAAAATCCAGGAAAAAAGCCCCAACCAAACCAAACCCCAGATCCTTCCGGGGATGGAAAGTTGCACGCGAGAGAAACCGCGGCAAGATTTGGGACGGCCTTCCCATTTTTTCAAGTGACGTTAATTCCAGCGAGCGGAAAGACTCCACCGTCTCCCTGTCCCCTTAGGCACGTCCCGTCTGCTCAGCACAGAGCTCACCGCCTCCGGGCTTTCGTTCCCTCCTCCTTTTCGTCGCCCCCCTGCTCGGGCAG